TCTTAGTTCAGCGGTTGATGGGTCCAGCATTTTACTCGAGTATATACTAACCCAGATAAACATGTTAATGTATAGTGTGCTCTCCTTTATATGAATGAGGTTGCATCCTCAGGGCCAGGGCACTGTTCATAGGCGGGGCCAAGGGCTGGCTCTAGGGGGCGGGGCCAAGGGCTGGCTCTAGGGGGCGGGGTCAAGTGCTGGCTCTAGAACGGGACAGGTAGGCGGGCCCTCGGCGCGCAGAGGCGGGGACTAGGGCTGCCCCATCCGTGGGGCAGGACCGTGGGCGTATCCTGGACGCTTGGGGCGGGGCCGGGAGGCGGGCCCTTGACCTGGGGACGGATCAGGAGGCGGCACCTCGCCTGGCGGTGGGGCTGGGAGGCGGGTTCTCAGTGAGTGGGCGGGACCTGCGCGCAGCTTCCCCTCGGGCGCTGGGCGTCCATCACCGGGGGCCACTAGCTCGCTCCCTCGCTGTGAGACTGTCCCCTAAGACCTCACCCAAGTGGGCAGGATGGCTCCGCCTCTCACCCGGAGTTCCCCTGACCCACCCAGCAAAAGGGGACGTCGGTCACTGGATCAGCCGGCCTGAGGAGGGGTTTGGAGTTGCAGATCGGAGAACCGTGGGATTTAGAAAGCTGGGACCCATGGCTCACCCCATCCTTCCCGTCTCCCAAGCCCTCGGGAGGAGGTGGGCCGCAAGAGGCTCGGGCACTCTGATTACGGTGCCTCCTCCCCACACACCGCACCTTTCCACCCTTGGCATCAGCGAAGTGAATAAATTAATTCATGAGATGAGCTTCCTTCCGTGCACTCTGGCTCAGAAATGGGGCTTCTCGTCAACTCTAAAGAGCATTAATATTTACAGATAAACTGTAACCCCTTCCGGTCATTCTCACGAGCCTTCGGACCTGGCCCGTTCAGACCCGCCCAGCCTGGCCTGACAGCTGCAGGGCGAGAGGCACCTTGAAAGGATGTGGTTCTCCTTGCACCAGCTGGGAAAGCAGTGCCAGCCAATCCCAAGCAGTGCCACCCTGTTGACGGAGGTGGTAATTTCTGTAGGGCCTCTACCCATTAACCCCCTAAA